GGTGCCAGAATATAAAAATGACATAAAGCTATTAGAGAGTGTCTAAAGGAGGGGCACTAGGATGGTGAAGGATCTGGTGGGAAAGCCCTGTGAGGAGCAGCTGAGGTCACTTGGTCTGTTCAGCCTGGAGAAGAGGGGACTGAGGGTAGACCTCACTGCAGTTACAACTTCCTCATGAAGGGAAGAGGAGAGGCAGGTACCGATATCTTCTCTCTCGTGACCAGTGTCAGGACCCAAGGGAATTGAAGTTGTGTCAGTGAGGTTTAAGCTGAGTATTAGAAAAAGTTTTTTCACCTAGAGGTGTTTGGGCACTGGAACAGGTTCCCCAGGGAAGTGGTCACAGCACCAAGCCTGACAAAGCTCAAGAAGTGTTTGGACACTGCTCTCTAGACACAGGGTGGGATTCTTGGGGTGTCTTGTGCAGGGGGCAGGAGTTGAACTTGACGATCCTGATGGGTCCCTTCCAACTCAGCATGTTCTATGACTCTGTGATTAGAGTGTCATCTTCCCAAAAGTCACACTTCTAGACTAAGCCTTGCCACTCTCAGTACACACTTTGAACCCTGAAAAGACAACCTGAAAAATCCTGTTGACAAAAATACAATACCTTTCAGAAACATCTTTCATGAAAAGCCCAAATTTCTGTAACTAGTCTTGCACATACATCGGAATTTATATTTTAAAAACTCAATAATTTTAAGAGAATCATTAAGTTGTAAAGAACATTTCTGCATAGGCAGGGAATGCTGATGTTAGAAGCAGATTTGATTCCCCAGCCCTGTTCCCTTGCATACACTGCACATGGCAAAAACCTCCAGTACTAATTAATCAGCTGCCCAGGGTTATTTGGTGCAGTCCCACTTAGCAGTTCAGGTGGCCTTAGGAGAAGACTCCTTCTTAACTGTCCTGAACTGGAATCAGAATGTGCAAGGGAAAGACAGGAGCCAATTAGACTTGAGCCTTGAGGACCAGAAACAGGCAGGAATTCCAGATGCTATTTTGCCTTGCTCCACAATGTAGGAAATCTACAGGGAACACTTTTCTTTGCCTCTCTTTTGTGAACAGATCAGATAGGACAGTGTTTGAAAGTACCTCTTAGCCTCTGGCACTTAGAATTAAAGCCCATTTTAGACAATTGTATAGATTTTTCCAATTAGCATAAAACTTAGCCTGCATACTTACTGTTTAATCATACACAGAAGCATGAGTCTGAGGTAACAGATATCACTGAGGGAATTCTAGTACATAAACTAATGCATGTCTTGTTTATAAAAAAGATGAGTGGTTTAACCAATAACTCCCTTGCAGCATCAATAAAAGATTTTGATGTCACTACAGCATTACATTCTTGTGAAAGAAATATTCTTTTCTAAAAGACTTGCTGGGAGAAACAGTTTGGGTGTTTGACGTCTTCAAAACAAAATCACTCATTCTTAACTGCACCTGGAGATAGGAATGATATGAACACCTGAAGAAAAGCAATTTTTAGTTCTATTTTATGTATTTAATGATTCATTCTTAAAAAGCCAAATGACCAAACAAAAAACATGACTTAGTGATGTTAAAATGGGAAGCTATATGCATTTTCATGACATAACAAGGCATGTAAATGCTGTGGCCCATTCAGCATTACCGGATACTGTCACATATTTTGAATATTATTTCTGTTTTTTCTGTTCAGTATACCGTTCTGGTTCAGATGCATTTGCAACTAAAATAGCATCACACTTAATACCTACATTTGTGTTTTCAAAAATAAACAGAAAATAGAACGAAGACAGAAATCAACTACATCTGGGTTTTCTAGTTTCAAATCAGAATTTAAATTGTTTGAACTTGAGAATTTGCTCTCCACCTCTGTGTGCTGTGCTTCCTCCTTATATAGAGAACAGTTTAGGAAGGTAAGCAAGCAACATAGAAACAAGCAATCAGTTTTAATACAATTATTTTTAACCTGATCAGAATTTCGCTCTAATACCTTCAAGAAAAAGGGCAAAGGAAGCAAACATTCATAAATAGTGTGATGAACTGTAAGGATATGAGGAAGTGATCTGGTCAGAAAGATTTTTCTAAATCTCATTTTTAGCTCCTGGTCCAGAGACTAACAAACTTTCATTATCTTCAACTTCCAAGGAAGCAACTGTTCCACCTGATCACATTCTCATTATCTGTATGACTGTTCCTTCTGGAGAGAGAATGCCTCAAGTCAGAAACTGAAATTTTTGTGTGACATCACTACAGAAAAAAGGAAAGTGAACACTGTTTGATGGCAGCAAAGGGTGAATACATACCTTCAGCTTCTTTTGGGAGATTTAATTCCTTTTAGTTTTAATTGTTCATTAACACATTCCCTATTAACTAGAAGACATGTTTAAATCACTGCTAAAACAAACTGAATTGTTCACTGCTACTGTTCCTAAGTGGATTTAACAGCAATGGTTTCACAAGTCCTGAATTTCAAGAGACTTACAGCAAGGCAGCTGGGAAGAAGATACAAAAGATATTAAACATTCTTCTAAGTAGTGGTAATTGTGAAATTTTATTTCACTTTTTCAAGTCACAGAAGGAAGTAGAAAATAGAGACAAAGTGTTGGATGTAAATAACTGACAACAGATGTAAAGCAACTAAACAAGATTAAAAAAAATCTGCTACCTTAAATTAATACATTTTACATGAGAAAACAATTGGTACAAAGGCTGAATTAGAACCACGATTTTCAAGGTCAGGCACAGATACTTCCCTAGTCCCTCAAAAGTCTCAAGCCTCAAAAGAATATTCAGGTGGAAACGGTATTAATCCTGAACAATGGTACCCTGTAAATGGACTTCATGCTTTCCTAACTTCTGCCATGAAATAGCTGAAAAAATGAATTTGCAAAATGCTGATTCGAGGTATATTCCACCCATTCCACGCTGCTATTTAATAAAAAGAAAAAAATTATTATCATCCAACCTGACTTTTAGCCACCTCCTCATCCCTAAAAGTTTGGTCTCCTGAATCACTAATTGAGAATCAATGATTCAAGGTTTTAGTATCAAATTAGTGGTTTTACTGGAATATGAACATTTAACTTTACAATAAAATACACTGTACTAGAAGGTTCATTCAAATCTAGGTAATTTCAGTTACATTCCTATGGCTTTGAGCAAAAAAAAAGAAAAACCCAAGCAGTTTTACTGTATGTACACAATATTGAACATCAAGATTTAAATTATTTATTAATAACCTACATTCATGTGGATTTCTAAGATTTACATCCAAAAAGCATATCTTATTTACATGCTGCTGACATCTTAAAGAAAAAGAAATAAAATATCATCTGTTTAGGAACTACATCTATTCCAAAATTTAAGAAGATACATTTAACACCACAAAACATTTTAAACATTTACAATAAAAAACAGCTTTCTGTGCCAATCATACTTACTCTCCAAGAATGCAAAATTGCACTAATTAAAATCAGACTAGAAACACTTAAGACCTGAGAGTCAAATCTAAACCTTTTTTTTAAAGAAAATCCTGCAAGTTAATATGCCCTTATGTTAATTTAAACACAGACTGGTCAGTGGTCAATTAAAAAAAAACAAAACAAAACCAACACCAAAAACAACCCCCAGAAACCCCAGTGCATTATTTCTGCATCTCCAAAAATAGATCACTACAAATTTGTTGCAGTAGCTTGATAAGTGCCAGGCCTGCCAGATGCAGTAAGGCTTATTTCAAAGTGTCCTTTCCCACACATTGTACCCTAATCAAATAATGAGTGTCTTTAATCAGTTCCTGTGAGGATTCCCACATTTATGTAAGCAAGCAGTCGCTTAAGTATGCATCTTGGATTTTTGAGGGTTCCCACTCCAAGCATACATACACAGGGGTGTTTTAATAGCTAAAAATCAGAGTAAAAATAAACACAAAGAGAAAGTTAGAAATACTGGCCAGAAACTTTTGAAGTCTAATGAGAAGCTTTATATCCACCCCAAGGGTCTTTCAAACTCAGCAGAGCTCGGGAGCATCATGCACTGTATTAGTAACCATCATGTACCTTATATAAAATAATCATAACAAAAAAAATGGTTGTGCTAACGAGTACACTTTACTGCACTGCAGGATGTAAGAAAGGTACCACACCTATAAAGCCCAGGGCAGAGAAGCATCATGCAAAAATTACTCCATTTGGTAGCAGCCATTTTATTTCTGCACTTGGAAACATCATGTTCCTTTTCGAGTGCAAAAGCTTTCCCCTCCCTACTGGTATCCTCTAGAAACTGCTTAAGCAAGAGCATCTCCCAGGAGGGGGTTGAGAAGGCCATGATTTTCTCACTCTGGAGCTATTTCCCATGGCTTCAGCAGTTTGCCCTTCTCATGTAGATGGCTGGCAGTGCAGTAGTGGTCCTTCCAGGCTGAAAGCAGGCAAACTGCAATCCATCAGCCTACACAGGCAGCCTTGCTTTGCAGACTTTCCACCACGCTGCATCCAACTCAATTAACATTTCCCAGCACCCAGAAACCCGAGTGACACCAATTCCATTCACCAAAGCAAACGTGTGAATATCTGTTAATTCCAAACAAAGTCCTGCCCTTCCCAAGGACCGACCTTTGCTATTTAAGCAATTCATTAGAACTTTAGAGCATTTCATTAG